GCTTTGCTAAGCTTGTTCCAAGTAGGTGCTTCAGACCACTGAGCCATCTCACCAGCCCAAGAACTCAGATCCTTGTGTTTGCCAGTCAAGCACTTATCCTAATGAGCCATCTCCCCGGCCCTTTAATTTATATTCTGCTGTAAATATGTCACTAGAGAAATAAAATGTGAACCACTGGTCTAAAAAAGAAAAAAAAAAACCAAACAGAGAATAATAATCTTCTGTAATTCATCTTATTGGCTATAGAGGGTTACTTGCCTTAGATTTACTATGATGTGAGATACTCCCTCTCACTGGCTTTTCCACATTTGTCATGGCATAAATTTCTATGCTTTTTTAGGAAATTAGCATATATCATACTACAAGACCCTTAAAAAAAATCTGATGGCAGTATTTTTTTCTTACTATGATCTGTTCTGAAAGCTGCTTAGGTCTCTGGTTTTTACTTTAACCCATATCCTGATATATGTATACATGGAACATTTGTGATAAGGAATCTTGCCTGACTGGAGATGGCATCATGAGTTATTTTTATACATTAGTAACTAAACCCAACCACTTTGTCTCTGATTTATTTAAAGAAAAAATCTGGCAGCAGTAGGCTTTTGTGAACTTTTCCAAGTCTTGCTGCTGCAAATAGGCCAAAGAATAGGAGGTATTTGAAAAAAAGAAATGATGGCTTCATTGCGTGGAGACAGAGGCTCTCACTGGAAAAGTGCCTTTGAAGGCCAAGACCACCTGTGCCGGCTGTTCCCCAGCTGGCTTTGTGGACAGCATGCACCTGGCATTTCCACCGCCACCTCCTCCCTCTGCGTGGCCCTGGGGAGGTACAGACAGGCTCCGAGGTTGCCTCACTCGCTGGCCGCAGTGCCCGAGCGGCTGCTCAGCTGTCTCTGTCCACGGTGGGGCCCACTGTCAGCTGCTGCCCAAAGACTGGGGGATGTAGGACCTTGGTCCACAGTAGGTGAGAACTGCCTATAGGGAAGTAAACAAGAGGCACTGGTGACTGTGCAGAATCCCCAGGAGGCTTTTTAGTTGTCTGCACCTGTCCTGGAAGACAGGAGACACATTGCGACAGAAGCTGGAGGAAAGGTGCAGTAGACCTGGCCTGTGTTCTGTTGGTACCTCCGGAGCTCCAGCTGCAGGGAATGTTGTCTTCATTCCTTGGCTAGGAGGTAGAATCATGTCTCATAGTTAAGAGGAGTTTTTGCAACTCAGAATAAAGTGCTGTTACCTTCCTAAGTACTACCAGAAAGCGAAGTATTGTCTGTTTCCTTATTAACTTTAAATTATTTTGAGTTTCGATCTGTTACAATGACAGTTTATTCTCATACCAATTGCAATAGAGGAAGCCTTACACTTTCTTGAGCCACTGCTTGAGAATGTGGAATGGGTCCTGAAGCAGGCGGTGCTGTCCTAGGTGCCTTAGATGCAAGAAAAAAAAAAAAAAAAGGAGCTCAGCAGCATAAGTGCCTGCCTGGCAAGTCTTTGCTTGCCTAATTCAAGCTTCCTAAATTCAATCCCCAGTACCACAAAAAGAAAAAAGAAAAAAAAAAAAAAAAAGAAAAAAGAAAGAAAGAAAGAAAGAGAAAGAAAGAAAGAAAAAAAGAAGAGATGCCTAACTGTAAAAAGTAATGTGGAAAAGAAAAATTAAGGGGCCGGGGAGACAGCTCAGTAGAATAAGCGCTTCCCTAGCAAGGGCCTGAGTTCTATCCCCAGTTCCTAAAAAAAAAAACAAGAAAGAGAAGAAAAATTAACAAAACAGAACAAAAAAAGAGACAATTTTTAT